CTCGATTTATTCGACGTCCAATCTCACTTTCATACATTTCTATATTATCGGGCACACTTCGTTCTTCAATGTCAAATGTTTCTGTCTCATCATCTATTCGAATCTGAATATTTTGAAATGGATTAAGCTCTAAAACACTTGCGTTTACTCCTGTCAAACTTTTCTTAATATCTTCCTCATGAGCTGTTGATAAACCCGGTCGGAAGTATAGTTTAACCTTAAGGTATCCTTTACATTGTTTATTTGTATCATTTGTTGAAGATGAGCAATGCCCCTGTTGTGATAATTCATTTGGTGTAATATTATTCAATTCATTGGATGTGCCTAATTCTTGCGGTTCGTCGTAAATGATTTTTCCGATTTCTAATTCATCGGAATTAGTTTCATGTGGTTGTTGTGATTCATTGGAAATAATTTCTTTGGACGGTCCTTCAGCTGCATTCGATTGATTGTCTTCAAAAGTTTCATGTTGAGGACGAGAAACTTCTTCATTATTTGTCTGATTACTCATGAATTGTTGTTCTTTTACTGTCTGATCTTGCCGTCTAAGACTAAGACTAGTTTCAGACTTCTTTGCATATATTGGTAACTTAACTTCGAATTCTTTACAATCGCACATATCTTTCAACCAAAAGGTAGTAGTGCCCACAGTGTGCGCTCCAAATATGCCACGTTGTTTCAATGTAATTACAAGTCCGGTTCTATGACGTTTTAATACTCCAAATTGTAACTTATTTTGATCTGCGCGATTTGAAGTAATAAGCCAGCTCGGTGGATTACCTTGAGATGTTATTGTATATTGATCATTTTCCAAAGAACCACATAGTGAAAGAGTTAGGGAAAAATGATTGCCTGTTTATTTGTTTTAAAAAAAAAGACGTTAATTAACATTAAGAAATATCTATAGCAATAAAAATGATATCACTTACACGCTATGTTCGGATTTAAATCTTCAGCAATAATTGAATGCACTAGTAAAGTTCCCACATCATATCCTTTTTCTTCTGGCGATAAATTAATCTCTACGCTTCTGAATACGAAACTTAGTCGAATTTTGCCGCATCCAACGCCATGCCGTAATGGATACCATTTTTCTCCTTGCTATTTATATATAGATAGATTAAACATTGAAGTCATTTCTGTATAAAAAATATTTATTAAAACTGTACTACCTTTCCTTTATGTTCAAGAAGTTCCTTTAAAAGAATTGTCGCCATTCCAATTACCGGATCATATTCTATAATTTCGAAGAATTCACACATAAGATTATGAAAAAAAGGCAAAAACGAAATTTTGCTAGGAGACAACAATTACCCAGATCTTTTTGATCTTTAACAACAACTCTAACAACCGCCGTTTTCCAATCTTTAACAAATTGTTCTGTAGACGTGTTCCAGTATGGCGCCGCGCTATATCAAGATTCGATAAGTTTACATGCAATTCTTTGTCTCTCTAAATGCAACTCTTGTCTTTGTCCAGGAGATGCATTCAGAGTTGATAATGATCACAACAACAACAACAACAACAACAATAAAATAATATAATAATAATAATAATAATTCTAATTATTATTATATTATTTTATTATTTTCATTACTGACTTCATTTAGACATACTTGTTTAATTTGGCACGAGTTCTAAAGACTACATTTATTAAGAAATAATTAATTTTAAACATTCAATTATTTGTAAAGAGAAATTAATAACTAATCTTTGAAAAGCACGTACCTTTAGCATCATTCACATATACGACGCAATAAGGATTTGGATATGTTGCATCGTAAACATTATCAGACAAAACTATTCCGGATGCTTCTTTAACATATGGTGCAGCTGTAACTTGCAAGCTCATCCCCTGATGGATTTGGAGACCGAGAATTCCAGCTTAAATAAGGATAATATTCGTTAAACAAGGGTAGTAATTAGCACTGTTTATAGATGCGGTGAATTCTGAAAGATAAAACAACTTACAAGTTTGATCATGGGATGGTTCAACGTTTTTAGGCAATTTTGGGAAATATTCTAACCGAAATTGTAATTGTCCACGAGATAATAAATCCATAGGTTTAAGATAAAGGTTATGCCATCTAACAAGGAATTCAATAGTTTGAAATTTATTATATGGTCTAATCTCACTAATTATCTAATGAATTGTTTAATAAAAACTCACCCATCATGAATTTTAACTCTTTTAGTTCCATCACCAATCTTATTTTTAATATCAACCCATGCATTTCCAATAAGGTCATCAGAAGTAAATCTATCCCAATCCATGACGCTCAACTTGAATTTTATACGTTCATCAACGATATCAAGTTGCGGAATTTTATGAAAGAAAGTTTCCTTCCATTCAGGATTTGCACAATTATAGATGATGCGAGTAGTGTTGGGAGTATGCATATACGGAGGTGGATCTAGTGATGATAACACATATGGATCATTTTCACCTATATTTTTGAAGAAACAAGAGGATAACATTTTTAGAAAGAGATTAAAAAGAGATTAAAAAGAAAGTACAAGAACGATAAGTTACCATGTACATCAACTTTTGTCAAGTTTTTTGCTCTAAATATATCAATCTTCATTATACCAGTTGTCTGTGTGTCTAAAGGTAATATATTATGAAGATTAGCATAATTTTGCACCAAAAGTTATGACAACACCAAAGTTGTAAAGTTATGACAAATCATACCATTAACCGGGTCCGTCGATAATAACTCGGCCAAATTAATATCTCTGAATTTTGGATATGTTAGATCTTCTAATACTGAGTGCATAGCATTATCAATGAATTGTTTGATTAGAGGAAACTATTTTCACAAGAAATTCAGTGAAATGTTGTATATTTGTGAGTTTAAAGGTAAAATAACTATTTAAAAAACTTTGTAAAGTAAAAGAGCTCAATATACTTGTGCAATGTTCACTGGTATTAATGGCATAATGCTAGTTTTGCACTCTGGTATTTTCAGAAAACTTATTTTTGCAGTTGATACAAAAGGTGAAGTTCCAGTTAACTTTATTTCAAAGTGAATTGATGCGGTAAGGGCCAATAATTCAACTCTAATTGGGATCACTGTAAAAAGAATATGATAGAGAACTCTTAAATTTCCATAATAGGTAATAATTCAATATTATCGTTTTATATGATTGACACTACTTACATGCCGAAATTCCGGTTTTTATCCATGCGAGGACGTGTGGTGGTGGAGGATCTTGAAGCGTTTTTGAAGATCTCGCACGGAACGAAAGCCTTAATTCACCAATCTATAAGAATTTTAGCCCACAAGCAAAAATTATTAAAGCCGAATAAGGTTACTAGAGTACGAAAAAGATCCAATTGGTAATGTAATGTTGATATGAAATCTTACCAAAACATCTTCGCTATCTTCGCTTTCAGATAGCGGATAAATTTTGATACTGTTGAATATAAAAATTGCGTGAATTGCAAGATAAGTAAGTGAAAACAATATAACAACTCATACTAAATTCAGATACATACTTTTCAATTCGTGGGGCAATTAAACCGAGTTCAAATGCTTCGATATCCGTTGCGCGCTGTTTAATATATTTAGTCAATATCAAAATATTGCACTTCAGTGATAATTATACCTGCGACACGAAACCCGAAATTATAGTTTAGTTTGGTATTTTTCGAAACTACGTATCTCGGGTGGGTCACAGGTAGATCAAAAGAATTGAAAAAAAAATACAAACCACGAAAGATGGAGCGCTACGTGACAATGCATCTTCAAGCATATCTCGGAGACCAACCAAAAGTGATGGATCAAATGTTCGCCAAATTTGTAGTAATAGATAGTTTAACCTATTAAATATATGTTATAAATGTTGCAAATCTTAGATACAGTAAAAATTGTGATCGATAAAACAAATCGTTATTTATAAAGTTTACCATTCTACAGTTTCACCTTCATCTCTTTTCAGCTTTAAAACATAAATAAATTTTAATAAACGAGAAAAGTTCCGATGATTTTTCCAAATAACAAAAGGCATACTTTTTCCATAGACATTTCACGTTTAGTCATCCAAATAATGCTCTCGGTATCATTCTCTAACGTATTAATATACCAACTCACACATTGATAAAGCACAAAAATTATCCAAAGAAATGCGAAACCCAAATAACCAAGAATATATGATCCAATAGAAACCAAAATTATCAATGCATTTAGTTCATAAGTAGGTTTTCGAAGAGGATGAACATTATTCCTTTGTAAATTTTTATGCAAGTGATCTGCTTTTTGTTCATCATCATTTATATGTGCATTATTGGTTATTTGCACATCATCGCTCATTTCATCAGGACTTTCCATGATAGGGTTATCGCTTTCGAGAAATTCAGAACCTGAGCTCACCAAAGTTTTTTGGGAACTACAAAAAGATTCAGATCGATCTTTTATCGTGCCTGGCTCTACGTCGTCGTTAACATGATTTCCATAAGAATCGCTAGTGTTAATTTTGGGACTTATTAATTTGATTCGATTACGATCATGATTTCGCAATGATGATATCTGCGATTTATCTCCATATATGTCAATTTTTTTTATCGATAATGAATTGCTATCTAACGCTAAGCTAGGGGGTGAATCACGAATCCTAAATTCTGGTAAAGCTATGTCCATAATTTTTTAGAAATTGAACTTCACGGTAAGAAAAATTTTGAAAGCAGTAATAAATATAATATGAGGGTGATGTATTGGTGATGCAATCATGCATGATGGAATTCCATCTCTTTTATGTTCTACAAGTGATGTCCATTAAGGCTCGAAAAGGAAACGAAAGTCGATCATATGCTATGAAAGAACAGCGCCAACTATGCACATTTACTCCGCATTTATGCTGCGAGCGTTATTTATCGGTCTAATTATGTATTTTTAGCGGCGTTCTTTTGCCAGCATCATACAGTAGCATTATATTCAACCATGCATGTTTAAATTACTATTTTAGAGGTAAATGAGATTTCTGATACTTTTGTTTGCTGATGTAAAAAAAAAAAAAAAACTTCAAAACTATTAGATCTCATGCAATGCTTATTTTTATGATATAATAATTTAAATTATATGTTTGTAAAATATTATTTTTAAATTTCGTACAAATTTATCGACTTTAGTTTGCTTCTGGTGGCATAAACTTGCTTTTATGATGATTGTTTGTTATTTCATATTAACTTTTTTTTTTCCATCGGTATAACCATGGAAATCCGCATTTATCGTTGCCAATAGCATTTCCGTTTACGCGAGAAGATGCACACAATGAACAATTACTCATCGAATTTATTGAGATTGTTGTAATACTCATCGAATTTATTGAGATTGTTGTAATACTCATCGAATTTATTGAGATTGTTGTAATTCACGCATAGCACGTGACAACCCTTACACGAGTGTGGAGTAAAAGATGGACCCTAATAACCTTAATAAACTCGTATACATATGTATGTATTACATAGTTTAACAACCCCAACGTTATCTGGAACAAATAGAGCTAGATTTACTGCATTTTCCGGGTTATCTAATACGTATTTAATGAGGAAAACGATGAGGAAAGCCGCAGATGGTAATGCGAGTGGTACGTATCTGTCCAGTGCTGTAATGAGTTAAGGCCATACATACTAATGTGTAGAATTCAAATGTTAAAGAATAAATACGTATTCTTCCTTAATAGTCGAAATAAAAATGGTACTTTCTCTGAGCGCTCGAGTATCCATATATCGATATTTCTCACTCCATTATTGGATATTCATACATAATAAATATGCACGGACTATAATGGACTATTTCTCTGGGTATGTATACGTATACGCTTCCAAGTATACTGTATAATATTCCAAGTATATATTATTTCAAGTATATAATAAGATCGCACTGTTTTTGTTCTTACCTAACCATTCATGTGGTCCCGATAAGGTACACAGAGAGGACTCCCGATATAGTCTTTTTTTTAAATATAAGTTTAAGGAAAACCTAATAAATATCTAATAATAATAAACAATATATAGTATGATAAGTGAAATAAACTTTTTTTTTTTTGTTTAAAAAAAAAAATGACGCCAAGAAAGAAATGATAGTCTTTACCTAGAGTTAGGTATACATAACGATCATGCTGATTTTTCATTGTTAATTATTAATTTGAATCTGTTAATCAAAACATATTAAATATATTAATATATATTATTATTGTTACATATCATTATTTACTGTTTATTATTTTTTATTAACGAGATACCGTATCTCAAACTTTCGTACGTACGTATTCTGAAACTGTATTTTTGATATCAATTTCAATATTTGCTAATATTTGCTAATATTTGCTAATATTTTGCTAATATTTTGCTAATTTTGTTAATTAATGCTGTTACGTATAATTAATGCTGTTAATTAACGTTAACTGTTAACTGTTAACGTTTAATCCTGTTAATTAATTAATACGTACTGTTAATTTATAGCAAAAAAAAACTATACGTAGAAATTCAAAGGAGAGTTTATCTATTCCATGTGATATATCTAGAAATCATTGATGCTTTATATAGTTCTTTGCCCTTAATTCGTATAATGATAACACATTGGACTACATTTGCCCTACAAATTTCTTCCTATATTGGCAGGTCCTTGATGTGTTGTCAAACAAAATGTGTTGTTACGTAAGCCCGCTTGTAACCGTCTTTTTTTAATAGCATTAGTTGAAGCCACTTACATTTACACATTTACCACAAATATTTTACATATTTTGAATAGTTAAATTACCGTGTAACATTCAATAAAACTTCTTGTTTACCTACTTTTCTTCACAATTTACAAGTTTTTTTCTCTCTTTTTACGCACTGTCCATCTCGAAAATAAAGAACTCAATTCTGTATGTTGGACGGTTTGTAAACGTTATAAAGGTTCGAAAGGACATAAAAAAATATTTTATATTTTTCCCTTCTTTCTTTATTTCTTTCTTGTTTAATGTCTACGTCGAGATCTTTTGAATATTTTATTTCTTTATATTAACCTTAATCTATTATCTTCCCTTCGTCTGTCAATCTTACTCACTTCCCTAAAAATACAAGATTTTTTCTTCTCATAATGTTTAAGATCTCTCAAAAGTCAAAAAAAAAAGAGTCAAAGAATACTGACCCTCGAGTTACCTCCGGAAATAGCGAGCCTATAAATAATAATAATAATCAATTAACCGTTGCCATAAACAATAAAACTGGTGCTGCTCTTAATTTCATTTTTAAAAGAGCCCCAAATCTTATTCCACAAGTTATCGGCGTCGCAAAAACAATAACTCCAAATCTACAAAAGAAATCCGATAAAACTAAACGTAATGTTGATAATTCTATTATAAATAATCCTTCTTCTCCGGCTTCAAATGATTCTTCTCTCTTGACCTCTCCTGCCTCTTTCTCCCCTTCTCAAAAACGTGGTTCAAAATCTTTAAATGGTGATTTCGGTAATCGTCCTGATCATCAACGCCGTCCTTCTGAACCCACTGCTGTACTAGGTTTAAATAAACAATCTTTACATTCGGATTTCCCTTCAAATAACAAGGATATTAGTATTTATGGTGCTGTACCTTCTTCAAGAAAAAAAGATACCGGTCTTTATGGTGCTGTACCTGCTATCAATGTTCATCATGTCGACATTAATAACGGTTTACGAATTAATCGTTCTGCTTCCATATCAAGCGTTCCTATCATTAAAGAAGGTTATTTAAACAAAAAAATTGATTTTGACGTAAAATCTATTTCTTCTTCATGCGGCTGGAAAGCTTACCGTGTGATATTAAGAGGTTCAAAATTGTATTTCTATAGGCCTCCTTCTGAGGCTGTTTTAAAGACTTTTTTTCCAAACAATAAAGATATGGGAAAAGATATGATTTCAACTCTTTCACCTATCAACGAGCGTGGTATGCCTCTTAATAATCCTTTAAATTTTGATACTAGTGCTAGTAAATTAATTTTCGAAGGTAATGATAAGTTTAGTCCACCTTTGATCTCAAAGTATTACTATGGTGAAATTTGCTATGAAGTAGATCGTACTGTTGCTATGCGATTCAAGAAGCATGTATGCTTACTTATATTTGAGGACAATGTTGTGATATGCAAACGCAAATGGGTAAGATATACTAGTGCAAATTTAAGACCCATAATTGATGCTATGGGATTTGGTGGAAATCATTCTTCTACGAATGTTACTTCTCCTACTATCAATTCTGACTCTGGAGGTCAAGATTGGGATACGAGATCGATTAGTAGTACACGTGGTATAACTGAAAATGAAGCTTCTTCAATAAATAAGGGTAAAGGCTATTATACAAAATGGAAGCTTGATGCATGCTATTCAATTCATAGTGTAGATGTTGTTCCTGATCCAAATTTACCCACTGGTCATTCTCCATATATAACTCCTTCTTCTCAACCACCATTTACTGCAAACAGAAATGATGATACATCTTCTCTTCGATCTGTCTCTTCTTCTGTATCAATTATTGCAAATGTTTCTTCTACTTCTGGTGTTATCCTTTATTTAAATATTGTTGATAATGGGGAAAAGGATAGTTATAGAGTTTTTGTTGCTTCTAATAATGATGTTAGATCATTATGGATTGCAAAGTTATGGGATGCAAAAAAAGCAAATTTAAGAAAATTGATGAAATTATCTGATAAACAATCCAGAGGACTACATGATTTTGATAATAATGGATTAGCAACTGCACAATATAATATACGTGGTATTAATAGTCCTCAAGATTCTACAGGATTTGGAGATGAAAAATCTGAGGGTACAACAGTTACACCAAGGAGGAGAGCATATTGGGGTACGGAAAGACATCCAGAGTTAATAATCAAGGAAACAAATTCAGTGAAAAAGTCCCTTGATAATAATTCTTCATCACCATCATCACCCGAAATCGAATCATCATCACAGTCCGAAGTTAAATCATTATCATCATCATCTGTAAAGATTGAATCAACATCTCAAACTCTTATTCGTGGAGGTTCTATTAGTTCTTTAATTCATGAACTTGTATTTGAAACACAGAAAGGTACTGAAGAAAATGATGAATTTCTTCATGCATTTCTTTTAACATACCCACTTTTTGCTGAAACAACCCACATTTTCCGTGAATTGAAACGTTGCGCAAGCATGCAAAGTGCGTTCGAAAATGATGAACAAAACAAAACAAATAAAATAAGTGAAAGAATAATGATAATACTTACAATATGGTGTCAGAATTACGGTCGAGATTTGGCACGTGATGATATACGGAATGCCATGTTAGAGTTAGTGGATGAAGCATTTGCAAATAATCCTTCTGATGCGGAAGAGATAAAGAAATTAATACAAGATTCACGTGCTAATGTATTAAACATTGATAATAATGAAGAAGAAATGACAGTGAAAGAAACTTTATGTCATCCAGTTCCTGCACCTCTTTCATTAGATCTCTCTAATTTACTTGTTACTGGTTTAACTCCTGCATTATTCTTGAAAATGGTCCCAGATGAATTGGCGCAACAAATTTATTTATATCATTTTTTGGAACTTTATAAAACAAAACCTATGAATGATTTGAGAATTTTTAGTCCATCAAAAAATCGACAGGAGTCACTACCGAAAGAAAGTCCATTAAATTCTACTCCAACAGCACCTCATTTTATTACAAGATTAATATATCACCATATATTAATTGCAACACAACAAGCTGGATATATTAGTCGTCGTCCTTTGATATTAACGCATTGGATTCAAACTGGTATTGCGTGTAAAATGTTAGGTGATATGGCTGGTTGGATGGCTGTTGCATCAGCTATATGTTCACCAGGAATAGTACGTTTGAAGGAAACATGGAGACGTGTAAATGAACGTTGGAAAGATGTTGTTGTAAATGAATGGATTCCACTTTTATTAACTTATGGAGGCATTGATGGGGAAGCTGATATTGAGAATGTAAATTCTTTACTCTTGGTCATACAGGATAAAAAGGAAAAGAGTAAAACTAAACCAATTCCTTATTTTGGTTTTATTACTATCGCTTTGGACCGGCTTAATTCAACAATACCGTCGGTGATTGATCGATCCACAAATGATCAAAGTCGTACTGGGTCCAGAAATAATAGTATTTCAGGGTCAAGTATCATTAATTTTGAAAAATATCGAAAAATGTATGATACAATCATTTACTCACTGAATCAATGGGAGCAAGCTGAAAGTTATATAAAATTTGATGAAAATTCATGTCCTTTTACTCCTTCATCTCCTCTTCAAAAATATTTCCATCAACTCAATTCCGTTCCAACATCTTCCACACTAGATGTTTGGCAATTATTTGATTCATCTTTAATATGTGAACCTCGTTTACATGGTCAATATTTAGAACATCATGCCCGCCAACATAAATCACATTCTGCTTACGTACCATTGGTTTTTACCGAAGTTATTCCTTCTAGTCGATTGTTTGAAAAAAATGCAGTATTAAGTGCGAGCGGAACATTAGGTAAAAAAACATCGAATTCTTCTTTAAATATAGGAAGTGATAATAATTCATTGGTTTCAATGGCATCGCCAACGCGACAAAGTTTCTCAAGTTCATATGTTAATTCAGATACATATCCGACCTCACCCATCAATAAAACCCAATCTACAAATAATTCACCAGCTCACCAAACTTACGGAGGTGTAAGGCAAAGGACTATATCATTCCCTCCATCAAAAATAGGGCCAATAACTTCTACCACATGGAACACTGGGTTGGATCTATTTACAAGGAATTGGTTAGGTGGTTTAGCACAACATCGTGGAAGTTATACTGTGTTATTGAAATGTATGAAAGATATTGCCGGTGTTGGTGAAATGCTTATGTTTGTTAAAGATGGTGAACTTGTATTTAAATCTGTCAGAGATGCTACTGGTTCACGACCTGCAAGTCTTGTCGAATCTGGTACAACGTCTAAGAGAAATTCGGTTCATGGTATTACACATCCTCAGCAAAACTCACCACGTACAAGTTTATGTACTAATGGTGAGCATGACTCTCTTATGGTTGTTGTTAAGGCAGGAACCCTGGAAAGGTTAGTGGATGTTTTGATCAATGGAGTTGCTTCTTTCAGCACTAGTGTAGTTGATGATAATGGTGAGCCGCCTTTGACCATAGGAAAACAAGGTCAACTTGGTATTAATTCGGCGGAATATTTGGCAACATTCTTTAGTACATACCGTAGTTTTTGTAGTCCACATGTACTTTTTGAGATTTTAAGAAAACATTTTGCTAACGCAAAAAAAAATTCAAAGAAATCTGTGGAATCTACTACATCTGTGACTTTTGATAATGAAAACGAAACGAAACAAGATGTTGCATCTTATGATTGGAATCAAGTTATAAAAATTCAATCAAAGGTCCTTAAAGTATTTCATTATTGGGTTGAAGAATTTTTTTACGATTTTTTGGATGATTTAACATTGAGAAACCGTTTCACTCATTTTCTCAATGATGCAAAATTGGAAATAGAAGAATTGATAGGCAGCTTGGACGATGAACAATTATTATCTCATACTGAAGAAGCCAAAGACTCGATAATTAATTTAAAAAGACAAGTTATGATCAAGAGCCTTGAACCCGCTAATGATGAACAAAATGAGAAAATGTCATCCTTAATAGATAAAGTTATTAATGATCCATCATCATTACCATCATCAAAAAGCAATAATATTACTAAAGACGTTGAAATATTTTCCCCTTCCTCAGACGTGCAAGATGTATCTGATCTTCTTGATAGTATTGATCTCACAGTCATCGGTTTGTTCGAGGCTGTAACACCACAAGATTGGGTTCTTGCCTTTGAAATTCTTGAGACACAATCAATAAATGTTCTTGGCTGGTATCCTAAAAAACAACCATCCACTTCTGATGAGGAAATACATATCACAGACATTTTTACTGTTTTACAACAAACGGAACGAACAGGAAACTCGAAAAGAAGTGTTCTCAGTTCACTTCCTCGTTCAATCCAAGCTCTTTGCCGGGTTCACAATGCTATTCGTAAATGGGCAATTCAAGAAATCGTTTCAACGACAATCGATCTTGAACGACGAGTGAATAGAATTAATATATTTCTTGATATGATTTTGTTAAGCAGAAAAAGAATGGCAAAATTAGATATTTATCCCAAGGATGAAATTGCTAAACCTGAGTCCGAGGCAAAAAGAGGTGTTCCATCCTTTGTAGAAAGTGCGATAGTAAGCGCGTTGATTAGTCCTGAAAGTAGATTATTTGCAAAAGCTTGGAATGAAATTTCCATAACTCGGGATGGTGGTTTAGACTCACTCGAATCATTATTACAAAATGGGTCAACAAAGAGACATTTAACTATTCATGTACAACATAACTTAGCTCTTGTACCATGTATTGGATGGTTATTTGAACGTATGTTAGAAATATGTTGCAATGTACCAGATATATCTTTTGACACTGAAAAACTGATAAATTATGATAAACGTCGATATGTATATAACTTGACACAAATTTTTGTTCGTCTACAACGCGAGTTATCAGAACGGGCTCAAGATCGCAAGCCTGTAATAGATTTTGGTGACTTAATAAGTAGTAATCAAAAATCTAGCGCTAAGACTCACTTTCGATTTCTTAAAGAGATTGCTTCTCGAGAAAATAATATGATTCGTGCCTCTAATGCTCCACCAAAACTGCCAAAATTGCAAAGACCTGTTTATAAACTTATTGCAGAACAACAGGAGAAAGTCAAACGAGATCAAAAAGAAAAAGAACGTCTTGCAAAAGATATTCGCGAGACGCAGAATAAACTACA